AAAAAAATGGTGAGATAAGTGAGTCCATATTATGAGTTGATATGCAAAATATAGAAAGGTTTCTCATTCTGTACAAAATCGCTCTCTCATCCCTGCAAAAGCGCCTACTCCAAAACCAGAAAAAACTGTACCTAACAAGGTTACAAGCTGCATACCATTGGATGCGGCATACAAAGCTGAGTTCAAATCTTTTCCGTATCTGCTGAACGCCGTTGTGGACGAAGTTAGCACTTTTACTACGAGGAAATTGCAGATAAAAATTGCGAATTCAAGCACATTATTGCCCTCTGGTTCATGTTAGGTATGGACCATATGAAGTAAGCTGCATGTTGCCGAGCATCTAGCCAAAAATGACTTTACGCAAGTTTGCACTTTGAATACGATTTCTTAGCTAGAGGATGGCTTTTAAGGATTTATAGCTCCGTCCACAAATGCAATTAGCAGGTAAGGAAGAGAAATTTATAGTCGGCATTCTATGCTGCATTTAATGGTGTATGCAGCTTGTTTGGATGCCACTTCATCTTCTGACCATTCCCTTAAAAAAACACTAACTATCCATCTTCTTAATTGAAAGCAAGATTTTCGTTTTATAAGGTACAGTAGAGGTCCATTAGACAATTTCTCAAAAAATACTCACTTGTTAACTCATGTACTATCAGGTATTTGTCGGGAAGAGGTGCTCCACTGGGTAGTTGAACAATTTTCATAGCTATGCTATAGCAATCAATGCACATATGATTCTCCTGCAAAGACAAAAAGAATCAAGAAAGGCAAGGTCTACTCACATAAGATAGAAAAAAATTATGTTTCATTTACTAAATAGGCGATTGCAGCACTCTAAAAAGTCCATTCAAAAGCAAAATTTAGGCGTTTATTGACTGAAAGCTACTACTTTAGCAGACTGAGGACGGCTAAGTCAAAAATTTCACTGAAAAGTATCCAGATTGAAACAAATCATAAGTAATCATACCTGCGGAGCTTCTTCCGTGTCCGGTGAGCTGTCACCACTTCCATAATCCAAACCTGGGATTTGGAAAG